ACTGATGCACCCTTATGTTCTTAGCAGTGCTATTTACAAATAGAATTGCCATTTTCAAGTCTTATTAAAGACTAGTCATTTCACTATTATCATTTCACAATTATCACCAGAAGAACTGGAGTATACAATTTGGTTTTTTTTTGTTTTGTTTTGTTTTTAATATTATTTTAATTTATTTTTTCAAATACAATTGTCTCTGCCTACCCCTCACCACTTTCCCTTGCCCCCTCCCTCCTTCCCTCCCGCAGCTCTTCCCCTTTGGTTTTGTCCATGAGTCCTTGCTCTATGTTCCTTGACTTTCCCCTTCCCTTCCTTTTCCCCACCCCCCCTCCCTCCTTCCCTCTTGTCTCTGTTGATTTCTTTTCCTTTCAGTGTTGCTGGTCTTATTTTCCTTGCATTTTTGTATTGTTGGTCAGGTTCCACTTCTAGGTGAGATCATATGATATTTGTCTTTCGCCCCCTGGCTCATTTTGCTTAGCATAATGCTCTCCAGTTCCATCCATGCTGTCGCAAAGTTTAGGAGTATACAATTTGTTTTAAAAATATTTCTTTTGATTTGAAAATAATATGTATTCATGTAGAACTAGAAAGAAATATATGAAAGTATTAAAGAGAAGGAAAACGGTTAACTGTACCATTAGTATAAATTTTAGTTCACTTCTTACTAGCCTTCTTACATATAATTTTATATTGGGATTATATTTGCAACACACACAAGGTATCTTCTTAGGATCTATTAAATATTCAGACCCATAGACAACCACATCCTACATTTGGTATCGGTTCCCCCGGAAGGAACCGTGGCTTGCCAACAAGACAGCATCACGTGCTCCTCTTCAGCATGTGTCCTTGCCATGGTGGAGTGGAACATTACAGCTCAGGTGCAAGGAGACCAAAGATATATAAGAGGATGCAGGAGCCACCTGCCTTTAAAGCCTCATGGCCTATAGAAGTCAATATATGCAACTCCATGGGCATAGGTGCCAAGGGCCCAAAGAGTACGTGCCAAGTCTCCAGAGTCACTGCCTTCAGAAGTCAGAGCATGGTACCTCCCTGGGTAATTACAGTTTTCTGAGTCCAGATGCAATTCTCTAATCAGGGGTTAATTTTGCCTAGTTATATGGATACATGTCATCTTTTTCTTTTTTTAGGGAAACAGAGCCAGAAAATTAAGAGAAGTTTGGATTCTCTTGCAGAAGGAAACAGTTTCCCTTGCAATACTATATATAATGTTTAAGCCTTTTATTAATCTTAATGATAAATCACAAGCACGTTTCATTGCTATTAAAGGTGTTTCAAAAACATGACTGCCCCATAATGTATGTATGCAACCCATTAAGATTGTATATTTAGCTAGCTCCAAGTTTTTAACTAAGCTATTGCTGAGATGAAAATCCTGACAGAAAAACCTTTGTATTTCTGTGATACCATATGATCTCACTTATAAGAGGAATCTTACGAGCAAAATAAACTAATCAACAACATAGAACCAGAGTCACGGATAGACTGACAGAGGTGAAAAGGGAGGGGGGGCAATGTTTGAAAGACGGTGAAGAGATTAGTCAAGGAACACACGTAAAGGACACATGGACATGGACAACGGGGTGGAGACTGGCTACAGAAGTGGGGGGCGGGCTGGGTGGAGGGGGACAATAGGGGGAATAATTGGAACAACTGGAAGACATAAACATAAAAAAACCCCCTCTGATTATTTCCTTAACACAGATTCAGAAAATGGAATTAGTGAATGGGTCTGACGTTTAAAAAACCCTCAGTACATCTTTGAAAAGATGTTCTTCAGGAAGAAACTATCAGTTTACACTCAGACTAGAACTGCAAAAAAGCACCTGCATTTTCAATAACATGGGCTACGTTTCTTTAAAACATTTGTTAATTTTATATGGGAAAAAGGTTGTATTTTTAAAATTCCTGTTCTTTGATAACTGATGAGTTTAGAAATGGTTAGCTCTGGCTGGTGTGGCTCAGTGGATTGAGTGCTGGCTTGTGAACCAAAGGGTTGCTGGTTCGATTCCCAGTCAGGGCACATGCCTGGGTTGTGGGCCAGGTCCCCACTAGAGGGTGCTCAAGAGGCAACCACACATTGATATTCCCTCTCTTACTCCCTCCCGCTCTCTAAAATTACATAAATAAAATCTTAAAAAAAGAGAAATGTTTATAGGCACACAATTTATTGTTTTGCTAATTGTCAGTTCTTGTCCTTTCCCATTTATAGTTTGGGAACTGCATCTTTTTAAGTATTAAAGATATTTACATCGAGTCTCACATGCTGCAAACTTTTTGGCAGGTTTTATTTACTTTTTTTGGTATAGAAATGCTTACTTTTAGGTTGACAAATTATCAATCCTTTTCTATATGCCCGCATCAACAATCCTAAGTGAAGTTGTTACTCTTGAGGTTGCTTTGTGGGTGTGTATGTAGGTTTTCTAGGTATTAGAAATCCATATTTTTCTAACTTTTCTCTTTTTTTCAGTTTTTGCAGCATCTTTATGATGGAGTTACAGTGGTCTCATGGCTAGGGCCAGGCATGGCCACTCCCAGAAAAGCTCCAAGATGGCTGCCACTGTGCTCTGCCCAACGATGAGAGTGCCCCTGAGCAAGGACAACACTCCCCGGACCTCCAAGCAGCACTTGACTTGTGGCATTTAAGACCTTTCTATTTTTAGGTTCCAGAACATTTCATATAGTTATGGATTTTCTATTCCTTGAAAATTTGAAGGGATTTACTCTAGAGTTAAATATAGTTATATGTTACCAGTAGTATTTTGTGAGATAAATTTTAGACATGTTTAAACATTTATTCTATTGTTATTCTTCCATTCAGCCTTTCTACATCTTTTTAAGGCATTGTTAGTAAATTACCTTGTCATAGAATATTATCAATTTTATTGAGATGTAAGGATTTAGTGACACAGAATTGTATGTACAATTTAAATAAAAATACAGTGTAGACTTTTAAAGGATTTTGTATTTTTCTTACACATATTTTTTTCTTAACTTTTGTTACTTTTGCCCTTCTTATATTAGACTAGCCAGGGGGTAGTGCATTTTACTTTTCAAAGAATTAACTCCTGCTTTTATTTATCAATTCCATTATTTTCTTATTCACTATCTTTTATTCATAATTTTTATTAATATGTTTCCTTCCTTTCATTTTTTTAAATGGAAAAAATCTCTATAGTAAGTAATTATAGGAGAACCTAAGTAATGCCATTTCCTGGGTCTAGGAAGAAAAGGGGAAACAATTTTAGTAGTTCCATGGACCACTCAGAGATCCCTGTCTGAATATATAAGAAAATGACATGCTTACAAGACAGAAAGAAACCAGGATCTGATTCCAGACCAAGCCCACTCTCTCCAGGTAGAGCCATCGTTACACCATTTCAGAACCCAATGTGGCCTCCTGGTTTTATCTGGGGAGTAGAGTTTGTTGCCTTTTGAGATACATGGAAGGGTGTTATTTATGCTTCCCTTTATTCGCAGGCTGGTGAGAAAGGATAAGTAAAATAAAGATAAGAGTGATACAGAGATCGGCCTTCCTCTTGGAGAGGACAAACATCCCATCACTCTGAAGGGGAGGTGCTACCAGGGTTCTCAGTGAAATCTCCTTCTCTTCACATAGAGACCCTGACGGGAACAAAAAAGAATTTCCAGCCAGGTTCTCTTTTTCCCTACTTCTAACCACTCAGTACATGCCAGACAGACACTGTGCTAAGTCATGTGTACGAATCATCTTATTTAAGTCTTGAGGCAACTCTATGAAGTAGTCCCATTATCCTCATTTTTGTGGAGGGGACCACAGAGTGACTTGCCTAAAGTCACACAGCCAGGATGTGAACCTAGGTACGTCAGATTGCAAAGCTTGTGTTATTAACCACTCTGATACATCATGTTTGATCAGCGCTGACATAACCCCTATAGTACAGCCTTACCATTTAAGGGGGAGGTTGTTGAGCCTAGGATCAATGATCACAATGACCTTAAAGCATTATGATTCACTATGATGCCACATTACTTTTCAAAATTCTGTTTCTCATCTAAAGTAAGCAAAAAATTTGCATAGAAAATAATACTTGAGCAGAATGTCTGAGCAATCAGTATGATCCTCAGCATGCCAGCAAGTATTTTTATTACTGCCTCAAAAAGCGGGAAGAAAGAGAGGGCAGCTTGGGGCGTGGGGTGCGGGGAGGAGAGTTGGGAGGCAGCTGGTAGAAGGACAGAGGGGAAATGATCACTGAGATTTCATCCCAGATGATCTGACCTTGTAGCAGGTTTAAACACAGAAATGTTTATTTTAAAACCCTCACAAAGTCATTTTAAAAATTAAAATGTCCAAGTGTTAAATCACTTTACCACCTAATCCAGATATGTGAGATTTATGCTTTGAAAGAGTCTCCCTAAAGGATTGTCTGGCCTTTTTGGGTTTCGGCCTCATGAGAGAAAAAAATGAAATAAATGAAGGTAAAGTTACAACTTAATTGAATGTGATGTAATGTGAACAGAGCCAGAGCCATCAAGAATGAATTATAGGGAACTTCAGGTCAAGTGATTTGTCTCATCTCTGGCCTCTGTGGAAGTGCAATCAAAACAGCAGGAGACGCAGGCCCAGGGGATTCTACTCCACTCTGATCTGAGGCTTTATATCAACACCGGTATTTACATTTGAGACCTCTTCTTCATACCCACGACCCACTGTACATTTTTCAAGAGTACAGTAGCTTTTCTTAACACATTAGCCAGGATTTATGACATTCGCACACGCTTTACATTTCAATATATATGTTTAAATTCAGATACCAAAAAGCAAGTCACTGATAAAAGACAAGATCTATTTTAATGAGCTTTTAGTACTCTGTTTTGGCTGAAACAGGACGCCCCTGATAAGGCCTCTGCTGAATGCCCAGGAAGAGGGGGAAGAGGAGCAAAGGCAGAAGGTTGTTTAGTGTCTGACAACAAAGAAGGAAGTCTATTTCTGTACTTACAATAGCAGTTGGGGTGGCAGCCAGCACACAATAGAGCACCAGAGGGGTGATGAAGCTTTCTTCCTCCGTCCCGGGGTAAGGCTTCATTAAGTCTCCGTCCTGACAGAAGAATCCTTGGATATGCACCTGAAAAGTGTCAGTGCATTCGAAGTAGTAGGCAAGCAGCACTGTCCCAGCCATGATGACAAGCTGAAAATACAGCATGGCCACACAGAGACATTAGCAGGGCTTTGCCCCTCAGAGCGCAGTCCCTCCATCACCCCGGCGGCCGCGGCTCTCCTGGTATTGGCGTTGGCGAGTGTGTGCGTGCCTGGCTCAGCATGCTCTGGGCTCGGGGAGTGAGTGCTCGCTTGTCTGCCTTGTCACATCTGTTATCTAAACCTTCCAGCAAATAGTGCACAGCTCCCAGCTGAGAGGCACATCACAGCAGGGCTTGCAGAGAGTCCCCGTCTTTGCTGCCACCCTCTCAGGGGATGCGTGGGAACCAAGGCAGTATGTCCTTTCAGGCCAGAGGTGAAAAGTCAAAGGCAGTGGCATAAGAACTGGCAAGAGGTAGATGGGAGAGCTGTTCGTGAGAATTTCATAAACTATGAGAGACAGACTTACCTTATTAGCAATATAAAATATTAGAGGCAGGGAAGTCATGAATGAATGAATGAGTGAATAAATAAATGAAAGAAAGAACAGGAAGGCTGAAGTCTGGAATTCAGCTTTAGGTCAAGGGAAATTTTCTGAACACACCCTAAAATATTGGCAGGGATGAAAACAATAGAGGTGTCCTACGTCACTTACACCATTTATCCTTTTCCAAAAGGTTTTGCCTTCATGCTAAAATGTTTGCCACCAGTAAATCAAGGATTCTGCTGCTGATCACTTCTTACTTTAAAGTTAGACATAAAACGGGACTTGATTATCCTTTAATTTTGACTCAAAAATGTCCCAGATACTCACCAAAGTTTAGATGTTGCCTTTAACAGGTGTGAGGAGTTGAGGGAATATGGAAATGCCAACATTGTTTTTCTCATTTGTATTTGGAAGAAACCAAAAGGTCAACATATGATGACAAAGGTGGAAAGAGAAGATCTTTGAGGTTATGAAATTACAGAAAATTAAGCTGAAAGAGATCTTGGAGATCTTCCAGTCTAAAACCCTTGTGTTATAGATGAGAAAACTGAGGTCCAACAAGGACAACTGACCACTGATAAATCGTCAGCAAGTCCAGGGGTATCCAACCTTTTGGCGTCTCTGGGCCACACTGGAAGAAGAAGAGTTGTCTTGGGCCATGCATTAAAGACACAAACACTAACAAGAACTGATGAGCAAAAAAAAAAGAAGGTTTTAAGTACATTTATGAACGTGCTGGGCTGTATTCAGAGCCATCATGGGCCACATGCAGCCCCCGTGCCACGGGTTGGACACCCCTGACAGTAAACTAAACATGTGCTTCGACTGAGCATCATCAAAGCAGGGAAACTCACATGGAGACAGAATATTTTCAAATGTTGATTTGCTTAAAAGTTTCAATGTAATCATTATGGGAAAAAAATCTGAACTTAGAGAGACATCTTGGTACATCGTTTATGGCTTAAAATTGTTTTTATGAGGGGGGACCCCAAAAAACAGGAATTATCTTTTGAAAGGCGAGCCCCTTGTAGTACTGGCTTCTCTCACCTGGTGAGTGTTCTAAGAACCCATCTGTATCGGTGCACCAGCTGGCGTTGTTGTGAGAGGCTGCGTTTGGCTTCAGTGAGTTTTTTAAAGGCTCTTTCAACATATTTGCCCGTTTCAAATGGGTGATTTATGAATGCACCTCACCACACTGCACTGAGTGTTCAGCAGTTTTTGACCAAAAGCAGCATGCCCTCTGTGCCCCACCGCACTATTCACCTGATCTCTCCTCTGAGTGACTTTTTTTTTTGTTTCCCTGGATGAAAAAAGTCCTCAAAGGGAAAGGTTTTGCTGATATGGAAGAGGTGAAACAAAAAACTGCAGAAGCATTAAAAGGCTTCAAAATCAATGAGTTCAAAAACTGCTTTGAATAGAGGAAAAAACATCTTGGTAGGTGTGTGGCATCAAATGGAGAGTACTTTCAAAGTGACTGAAGTTGAAACATGTAATAATAAATACACAATTTTTAATAAATAAATTCTTGTTTTTGGGGTCCCCTCTTGTGTTTGGGAGTACATAAGGGGTGGTAGGGGAAAACCATAATCTTTTGGGGGTTTAGGGAGTCTAAATTTCTTATTCTAGCCCTGCAATGTCTAACCCAAGGTCATAACTAGTTAGTGTTAGAGCCAGGCTAGAAGCATGTTTTCTGGGCCCCAGGGGAAAAGCGCCGACATCATGGCATTAGAATTGCACCCTACACAATAAGGTGGAGAGTTACAGGGAGGCAAAGTAGGTTAACCCCAATGCTGGGAGGCACTATCTGGCATTTTCATCTATTTTCTTATTCACTTTTTTAGCCACAATATTGAAGTAGAGACTTAACCTCTGCCCTCCTCTACCCCACTCTCTGGAACCAGGCACAGCCTCTGTTTTTGATATTATCTCTGCAATTCCTCGTCACCATAGTCGAAAGCATTGTTTTATTTAAGGGTCATTTGGATTAAGAATCCTCCCCCATTCACCAGCTTTCCCTGTTTCAGTGCCTTTCCTGTCTGGCTCAGAAGGCTTGAGTATCTCCAGTGGTAATGTGTCTCAAGTACAATCTCCTCACCACCCTGCTATAAAGGTCCTTTCGCCACATTTATCACCACCTTTCTTTATCCTCAGGTAGGAGGCAAATCATTCTTTTCTTCCACTATCCCTCATACACAACTTGTTTCTGGCCCTACAAGGATTATATTCTTCCATTATTTGGCATGCTTTCCCTCCCGAGTGACCTTCTGTCACAACTTGTAACCATCCAGTCATCTCTGGCTATTCCCCTGCGTATCTATCTCTGCACCTGAAGTTTACTGGCACCATGACTATTTCACCAATGTTCAGCCATTTCGCTGGTTTCAAGCGTTTGGTTTTCTGCTTTTCTTTCTAGCAACAGAGACTTGGATAAATATGTTTCCTAGGAGAATGAGAGACAGTTGCTCCAAAGCTGCCCCTGCTAACAGGTTCTCTTGCCAGACACTAGTTTATAAAGTCAAGGGCATGCGGTTTCTATTTCTTTCGTGCTTGACTGGTCAACTGAGTTGATCTGATGGGAAGTAATCTAGCCTGCTGACCAGAATGTTTTGGAGCTGAGATAATACTAGGATTCTAAGAGTCTTGGAGCTCTGCCTCTGGCAGTGTCTGTCTCCCGCACAGGGCTGATCTAGAATTTCTGCGAATCTCATCCACGGGGCTGGAAACACCTCTGTCCCTCTCTTGGCATCATCAGTCCTTGGGAGAAACAGACTTGGAGAAAAGCAGAACCTATGAGGGCTTTTTAGACAAAACAAAAACAAAAATCTCATCTAGCTTCCTCTGTTGAGGAAGAGTATTATATTGCTGTGCCTCTGTGCTAACATTTTCATTTAAAAATAAAATCAAAAGTAAATAAAAGCAAAAATATACATATGCATGTACATATATGTATATAGATGGTATATATATATGTAAAAGGGCTCAACAGAAAAGAGGTGGAACTTGTAGAGCATGGAACTGTCTTAACATCAAATACATCAAAATCAGCAATAACGACAACCGGAGAGCCAAGGTCATGTGCCTGAATTTGAGATTTTGAATAGCTGCCTGGCCAATTTAACCCTGAAAGCATCATCCAGAGAGAACTGGATGAATGAATGAATGAATCAATTAATTGCAGGGCATGAAGGAAAGAACAGGGAAGCTTGGAGACTCAGGGCGATATAGGTAGCCTAAGCGACAGATGACCCGTCATCATGAGTCACCGTGCCTTTACTCCTCACGAGCAGCCAGAAACTGCTCCTTGCCACTTCCAAGCACTCCTCAAACTCCCTGGAGAGTCCCCAGTGATGTCAGAGATGCACAGATGTAAAAATAGAACAATTCAAATCTTGATTTCTTCTCTATGGAACATTCTCTCATGACCACATATTAAAAAGAAGCTATAGACCTGGAGATTATTATGCTAAGTGAAATAAGCCAGTCAGAGAAAGATAAAATACCATATGATCTCACTTATATGTGGAATCTAATAAACAAAATAAACTGATGAACAAAATAGAACCAGAGGTAGGGACACATGGAGCAGACTGACAGCTGTCAGAGGGGAAGGAGGTGGGAGGGCCTGAATGAAAGAGGGTGAAGGGATTAGCCAAAGAGCCCGTAAGCATAATACGTAGACAACAATGTGGAGGTGGCCTGAGGGAAGGGGTAGGGGCTGGATAGATACAGGCACAGGAATAGAAAATGGAGGCATCTGTAATAGTGTCAATAATTAAAAACAAAAACAAAAACAAAACTTACGCATTTACTGCAGGAAGAGAAACACATTGATTCTGCTTCCAGGAGCACCAATGACACCGTTCTGTTAGCCATCAGTGCCCTCCCTTCTTCCTCCCTGTCTGGGCCGTGATGCATCCCTGTCAGGTTTATACCACTGGTGCCAGCTGGCACACGCGCCAACTCGGTTGCCTTCTCCAGCCCCATTTCGGGATGCATGGAGGGAGGCCGTAATGTTGGTGTCGCATGAGCAGATGGTGAGGCTTTGCTGGACCCGAGTGCTGGGGGACGGGGGGAGATGTCAGTGTGAGAGGCTCAGCGATGGCTGGGCTGGGGGCGGTTAATGAGGTGTAAGGAGCTCCCGTTCCAGGGATTTCCCTCAGCTGTCTCTAAGAGTGACAATCGATATATATGAAAATGCATTAAGTCCTGATCATTCCACAAGGATTCAGAAGGCAGAAACCAGCAATATTTGAAATCTAGCTTCTCAGGGTTGAGAGCACTGTGTTTCTGTTTAGAGCTGCCTCGTGGGGCCATCTGAACTTGGAAAAGCCGTGACAGCTAATGGACATAGATACAGAGAAAAAAAATAAAGTGGACGTGCAAAGTCAAGAGACCAGAGGCCTGGGGAGAAAGAATAATTTTGGTTCTGGTGGCTTTTCAGTTTCTCATTTCAGTTTATGCAGAGGCCAGTCTATGCTTCTTGGGTTTCAGAGGGTTCACTTTTATCCTTATCTTAAAAATTCCTTTTTGCCTTCATATGATGTACTTGATTTTCTATTCTAGGA